TTTCAACTTTTCCAAATAATTGATTGACTTATCTACGTTATATCTAAAATTGTTTTCCAAGAATATAACAAATGATAAAGAAAAATTGGCATATAATTTGGAGACTGTGTGTGTAGAAAATACGCAGAAGATAGACAAGAATCAATAAAAACCTTTGTCGATTCATCAACATAATATATACAAGATATCAAGATATATCACATTCAATGCATGAAGGTAATAGAGTATTGAATTAATAGCATGACACTTCTTTTACACCGTGATTGAATGCTTATGTATTTCAACGTAAAATAATTTGATAAATGGAAAATATTATTTTTCATTCTCATTTTTTTTAAACTAACAATATGATATTTTAATTTATTTCGTATTACTTTATCTATTAAATTATCCTTAAAATCTGGAAACGTAATAAGTAATTAATAGTAATAAAACCAATAATAATTTAATGTAACAAGTTTGAACGAGAAAAGTCGAGAAAGAACGAAAAAAGAACGAGAAAATAATAAAATAATGTAAATTAAAACTTAATTAATTAATTTATTATTTAATGTGATTATTTAATGTGATTAATTCATTACTTGTTGTTTGCTATATTGTGCTCGTTAAATAATAAACGAACTTTGATATTTTATTCTGTATAAAAACAACTATGATAGTTTGTGATGAAATATGATGAAATCAATTAAAATCAATAATATTAATTAGATGTACAGATTGATTTTCAAATATATTTCTTTAGGGAACACAAGTCTTCAATGCAATCTTATTATCCTTATTTTATTTTTATTCTTATTTATCGTTACTGATTAATTATTGATTTATATTAAGTCATAGAATATCCTTATTTATAATTTTATTATAAATATAGTATAGAATATATTATTATAGTATAGAATATATAATTATTATAAATATAGTATAGAAGTATAGTAGTATATACAACATAACATGATTATCTCAATTATTTTTATTAGTTTTTTTTTACAAATAATACGATTTTAATACATTTTTATCATAATGACATTTAATATTCTCTATATTCTTCTCTCATAATCAAATTTTTAATCGATGTCTTTTATTATATAATATTTTTTTAATTAACAATATCAAAAAGAATTGAATAAGATAAAAAAAAATTGAATAAATTTCAAAGTTTTTTTTATCTATTAATTTTTTTGGAAATTTTGGAAATTTTGGAAATTTATATAAAAATTTAAACAAAATTATTAGAATATTTCACAATTTATTTTATTTAAATTTTAAATTTTAAATCTACATAAAAAAATTGAAGACTTTAGAAATTTGTTTAAAAAAAAACATAGAAAAAATCAGAGTTACCAACTTGAAGAGATTTCAAAATTTTATCATTCATGACAAAAAGAATTTTCATTGATGATATTAATTATTAACAAATAATTAAAACAAATCGCTCTGTGCATTAAAATGTATCTCAAAATTATATTTTTACATACATTTTAAATGAAATTTGACTTTTTACTCGAATTATATATTCTAGGCGAAATTAACCAAGATGTCAATATATATAAAGGTTTCTATAATTCGATAAAACTTAATGCGAAAAGTAAGACACACGTCATCTAGTAGAGAAGGGTATGGTTCGACTAGTTCATTGGTAGCAAGTAACGTGGTAAGTTGCAGTTGGATTAAATTAGAGAGAAACCTACTTAGTTGTCTTTGTAAGACACATCACCATTATATAAGTGACGTCGTGTTATTTGAAAAGAATATATAAAAATGTATCATAAAAGTATTGTGTACTAATAAAGAGATATAAAATTTCCTGTCAAATTAATGATAACTTAATGATATTTTGACTTATGGATTTATGCTATAATATGAAGATAATTTAATCGCCATAAATTAATACAATTGTAAAATTTTTAAATTTATGAATATAAAATTTAATTTATCAATATATTTATATTTCTATTTATTTATAGATATTTATTTATAGATCTTGATTTTTAATCATTTCTTTCGATTAAAAAAAGTTTCTATATTATATATCATAAACTTCAGACAAAATGGAATTATCAAAATTATACCTCTATTATTTGAATAATATTTGATAATATTTATTCAAATGAAGACAAAAATTTTAATTTTGAGCAGAAAAATTGAGCAGAAAAGATTTGACCAACAAAAATATAATAGCTATAAAAAATATTTTTCATATTTTTTAATAAAGCATCATTTTTCATCGTTCATTTTATTTCTATAAAATTTTTATATTTATATGAAGTATACTAATAAATCATATGAAATATATTTAAATCTAATTAATTAGTATACAAATTACTATATAATAAATATGATAATGTTCAAATATTTTATGTAATCATTACATAATCATAATTCAAGTATAGAATATTTTCTTCAGTCAAAAATTTGATTTATTTATTAGAAGAAAGTGCTAACCTAGAAACACACTTCTTAGCATATACTCTATCGAAATAGGACAAACTATAGAAATTAACTACAAGCATAAAAATGACGCAGTATCTTCACCAAAGTAGTATATACATCTTGTAAATGAGTACTGCAATAATAATTTAGTTCTAAAGTATCTATGTTGTGCTAAAACTTTCAAACAACAAACATAATTGCAATACAATTGATTCAAGTTTGCTAAGTATAAAGAAATCTGTGTATATTTACGTAACATATATGTCTATAACATATTTGTAAAATTCATATAATCACATACATCACATACAAAGTATATCAAAAAAACTTAAAAAAAAACTTTATTATATTTTTTTTAAATAAAAAAATCTAACAATTTAACAAATTTATTAATATAAATTTAACTCATACAATTTTATGTTTAACATATAAATATTTATATTTAACTCTTCAATAATTTCAATAAATAATACTTTTCATTATTATATTATATAAAAGGAATATTAAATTAAAAAAACTATATAAAATTTTGGATTAAGTTATTTTTAATAAAACGTTTATTGAAGAGAAAGCGTATCCGATTAAAAACTGTATTTTTTGTTTAAATCGAAATAGAAATTGGTAGGTATAGTTTTTCGTTGGAAAATACACAACGAAAATAAAACCAAGAGGATAGAATCGTGAAGCTTCGAAAAGGAAAGAGGCTGGAAACACGCCCCACAGGATAAAGCACGCACTGCGTAGAAACTACCCCTCTACTTCAGTCAACGACGTGCTGGTTCCACGAACGAAAACTGGGTCATCAGCTATGATACTCGAGCTAACTCGTGCCGTGAACTCACTTTCTGTACGTGCCATTATATGTATACATGTATAGTATATAGTATATAGTATATATATATATATATATATATACCATGTACACTTCTGTGATATTAAAATATATAGTATATTTAAATTATTACGTACTGTAATAATCTTTTTCTTTTTCTATATTAAATTTTATATTGTATAGTTATTGATACAATTTTTGATATAATCATCGAATAATATCAATCAATTTATTGTGAATCATATGCATGAATTAGTATAGATCAAACAGAAATAATAAAAACATATAAAAAATTGTTATATATTGTGTATATAATTTTTTTGTTAAATTTGCATTATATTGACAATAAGATATTATTATAATTATACAATTATAATATTTGTTATAGTTTAGAAATACTTTTGTTATATTTTATATTTTTTTTTTTTTTGAATTTATACTAATGCATCATTCTCGAGTAAGAAAATGTCAAATTAAAAAAAGGAAAATAACGTGTGCAATTGGCCTTAAACTAGAATTAATATTCATATTATGATGTCATATTTCGAAGAAAAAGAGTTCCATAATATGAAAAATAAAAATAAAAGTAAATTTATAAAATTTTATAGAAAAATAGATAAATATTCACATTAATAAATTCTCTTAATATAAAAATATAAAAAGTTTTAATCTAGAATTATAATTTAAAGTGCAAAAAAAATTATTTATGATGTCTCTGATATAAGTAATTATTTAGAAAATTAATTCAATTTTATCATGTATTTTATTTCGTGTATATAGTACGTATGTATTTTACATATTTCCTTTAAATTCTTATAAACTACAAAAAGAATTGAAATTTGATTCAATGTTATATTTGCATTAATAATTTAATTTTTTTTCATTTTCTTTTTAAAAGTACAATTTTATATATATTATTTGTAATAGAAACATTTGTAATAGAAACAAAACCATGCATGATAAAAGCAATTTCTTCGAATATATTTTTATACTATTTATTCATATTTTTTCTTATATATATATATGTATAATATCACGATGATCATATAAAGGATCTAAGTGCCTATAAAATTTCAATTCTCTTTATATATTCTTCTCGATCGATATATTATTTCTCACGCACGTTGAATTCCCAAACCAACAATACAATACGCGTATAATTCTGCAAAAACTTGGAAATCGATAATCAAATAATATAATATAACGTAATAGTACTGGAATACAAGTAAGTATGTAAATATCATTTAAATCGATGACAACATAATTCATGGGAAATAATCGCGTCAGACTATCAACAATGAGAAAACTTAACGTACATTTAACGAGTCGCACATTATTAATGTTTTTTTCTTATTCCAATAGAATTTCGATAGTTTAATATTCAAATACATTAGAAAGTAATATAAAATTAAAACCGTTAATACGACACACGTCAAAAACGAAATTTCAAATTATTGCATAAATCAAAACATCTTTTTAAACATGATATAATACCCATTAGGAATGAAAATATGAGAATCAAAAATAAAGAAATATCAAATACATTAGTTAAATTATCAAATATCATTCTTTTCTCAAACACACGAATACACACGTGCACATATTCATCTCTACTCTCTCTTTCCTTTCGTTTCACAGCTATGAAGAAAAAAGTAAAGATAGGGCAAAGAAACATGCGGAAAAAAAGGAAGAATAAAAGCGAAAGAAAAGTGCGATTAGATAAAAAATAAAAACTTACCAAAATACGTCCAGTGGTGGTCTGTCCAGAAATCAGTTCACCGGCCCAGTCTTTGGCCTCGGTCATAAAAGTCCCCTCGAACTCCTTGCCCTGACGGCTCGTCTTTTGCTCTTTCTGTTTCGGGTCATTTGGAGCGAATTCGGGTTCCTTGCGACAGCAGAGGAAGGCGAACGCACGCCAGAGGAGTACGATCAGCAGCCCGGCAAGGAAAGTGAAGATGCTTGACAGCAGGAAGCACCACCATTTCCGTTCCTTCAGGCAGTCGTCTACCGGGGGCTGCTCGGTCGTCTCTTCGGTCGTCATTACGGTGGATCTCTGCTGCCCCCGGATCACACATTCACCGGCAGCTATTACAAGCGGCGGCCAACGGGGCGCTCCTTATACGCTTCATAATTTCCTGCTGCAACTCTGCACGCCTCGCGCTTCGTTGCAGCTTTCAACCACGAACTAGCTTCGCGCAGTTTGCGCCCACTCACCACTACTACTACTATTACTACTACCACCACCACCACTACCACCACCACCGCCACCACTACTACCACCACCACCACCGAACCAACCAACCTTTATTTCCTCTATTTTTTTTCCCTTTCTTTCCTTTTCTCTGTTTATATCGTGCCGTTTATTCCTTCTTCCTTTTCCTCCTCTTCTTTTTCCTCTTCTTTTTCTTGTTTATGCACGCACGCTGTACGCACCCGCGCACGATGCACGTACGACGCACGATGCACGCACGATGCACGCACGCACCGATTACCACCCACCCACCCACCCCCGTCCCACACTTGCTGTCTTTGAAATTATTTTCACCTGTTTCCAAATCCTACTATTGCCGTTTCTATTGCTGATTTTGTGCCAGTTTAATTCTAATCTCTTTTCCTCTTCTTTCTTCCTTTTTCCGCCAAGTTCCTTATCTCTCGTTCTTTATCTCATTCGTTCTTTATCTCACTCGTTTCTCTCTTCTATTCTTTTCTCACGCTTGTTCTTCACTTCACGAAAGAACCCTCTTTCACTCTATCTTACTCTCCACTCCTTCTCGTTTGATCCGTCCGTTCAACTCTTCCTTTGTTTCGTTTCGTTTGTCCTTTCCCTGTAGCAAAATCAAATTTCAGATCGACCGATGCTAATTTTTTTGTATTTAAATCACTCAATAATTCTTTATTACGCTTCCTCTCGTCCGCTATTTCACCAATTGAACCGATGAAATTGTCGATCTTTGTCTTTTTTTCTTATCCCCGATTATTCGGTCCTACTCTTCCGAATTATTATTCGGATGTGCATAATTCCGTCTGTTGATTGTTCTCTCGGGAAGAATTCGCGAGAACTATCTTCAAAAATTATCCATCAAGTTTATCGAGACCGAAGATCAGTAGGAGTCGATGTCGACACGTTCGGCGGCAGCTGATGCCGCCGCCGCCGCCGCTGATGCTGCAGGTAGTTCCAATCTCGAAAGAGGGAGAAACAGAAAACAAGAAAACAACCCACTGACACCACCACTACGATGATATATACATACGCGTGCGTCCACGTATATACACATACGTGCGTGTCTGTATTCGCGTGCTCTGTATATCGCGTGTATCTTTACGTTTCTTTATATACGTCTGTTTGTATATACATGTTGCCTATACTGTGCGTGTATGTATTCGTATTTCATTTATAATTATATCAATTTTGTGTTATATGTACATAAATATATACGTACATATTTATATATTCCTATATGAAATATGTGTAAATATACATGTAAGCACGCGCGCACACGATTGTGCATATGTATCTGTTATATCTATAAGTAAATGTTTATGTACATGTATAACATATATGTAGATGCGCGCGCGTGTATGCGTGTATATGTATGCGTATATACATATATGGAAATAATTTTTATTTGTATCGTGCATGTGTTTATATGTTTATATATTTTATTGCGTGTATATATTGCGCGCGCGCGCGCTTATACTTATACTTACAAGTGTCGCGTGTGTCACCTATATACATGTATATGTGAAAGTGTAATTATATGTATATATGAAGAAATACGTATATAATTTGTATATATATTTGTATATTTTACGTGTAATTATTATATAGTAAACCCAAATCCATGGATCGCATGCGACGAAACGCGCTTTCGATCACAACGACACGGAAAACTGATCTATCTGTACGCGTGTCCCGCTTTCTTAACCTATTCGACTGTACCACCGACGACGACGACGACGACGACGGCGATGAGGACGACCGAGTGTCCCAACGACCATACCACCGCTCCGCAGCAATCAATACGCAACAATGGACCGGGACCAATAAGCTCAAAGCTTTTCTTGACGTAGACGCACGCTCCGTTGCTACACTCTATTCCCCCACTGCTTCTCGTGTTCTAATAACAGAGCTTACTATCAGAGGGCGCCATATCGAACATCGCTGCGCCAAAGCAAATCTAACTCCTGTCATAGCAACTTTAAACCCACTAAATGATTCAGTTTGTGGTATTGTTATTTATTTTTATACATAATATTAATATTTTATCTTGAAATGAAAGATAGAATATTCAGATTACATATTTGTTTGGAATAATCGTTTTCGTATTTTAATCTTATTCATGGTTTTATTTTAAGAGATCAAAGATATTTTTTAATGAATATCTATTTAATTTTTTCTGTAGGTATTGTTTCTTTAAATGTTTTCTTTAAAATAATTTTTTTCTAAATTCTTATTTTTGTTAGACAATGAAATAAGACAATGAAATATTTGTTTTGTTTTTTTCTTGAAAGAGGTCATCTTCAAATTAATTATGTTTATTATATAATATACAATAATAATTATTATAAGCTATNATTAATTATAAATATATTAATTATTACGAATTATTAAGGTAAAATAAATGATTATATGAATTGCAATGTTACAAATATTATTATATAAATTTCAAATATATTGTAAATTATATATATATATATATATATATATATATATATGTATATATGTTAATAATATATTAATAATATTAATATATACATTAATAAATATTTTATTAAAAAAACTATAATAAAAATAATAATTATTACAATGCTAAACTTTTATTTATAAAGATATATTTTATTTTATAATTATAAAGAAATATTTTATTTTATAATTTTTTAATAATGCACGAACATTAGAAAAATAATTTTCTAAATTAAAATAAAATAAATTCTAATATATTAATAATATTGTTTTATAAATTAAATCAATATATTTCCTTCTTTTTTTATTGTATATTTATTATAAAAATACGATGATTTCAAATAATAAATGTAATTTAAATTTAATAATAAACAATGAATTAGATAGATATTATTGATTTATTCTAATACTATAGTAACTATGTTTGCTAAATAATTTTTTTTATTATTTAATAATATATTTTTAAATATATCTTAAAATAGCAGTTCATTTTTATTTCTCATAAAAATTTAAATAATTTTAGAATTACTTATATAAACACTAATCTTTTAATATAATTATACAAATATTATATAATTATACAAATATGGAAAAACGAAAGAAATAAACAAAACAATTTCCATTTCTATTTATAATTTGTAAATATTATTAATATCTTCTTTATTTAAAATTTTATATATAATTTTATTAATATTATATTTTCCATAGCCACTATAAATAAATATGGCAATTTTTTCTAATATATATTATTAATATCAGTATAATAATAAGATTTTAAATATCAACGTCAACAATAAATGTTAACGTTTCATATTAAATATTTATATAATTTTTGCTTTAATTATTTTACATTTATAATTCTATCAAATTATAATTTTGCGTAAATATATATATATATATATATATATACAAATAAAGTTCGAAACAAATGGCATAATATTATCATTTTATATATTTCTGCTGCATAATATTTAATTTATTTATATATAAATTTATATGATTACATGATATTTAATTTCCATAGTATCCTATCAATGTTTGTGCATTATTAAGTAGACACATGTGATTATGAACTGAGCTTTAAAAAATAAGTTATGGCTAACAAATAAAAAGTAAACCGAAGAAAGCATGTATAATTATATATATTCAATAAATACATTGCTATATATTGATACATCAAAAAATTTAAGATAAAATAAAAACAAGAATAATTTAAAGATAATAGAAACGTACAGTCAAAAATGTCAGAAGAAAAAACTGAAAGGTATTTATTAAATATTTATATTCATATATATTATATTTATAAAAATATATATATAAAGTATAATTGTATTATTATACTTAATTCGATATAAAAATACTTAAAATTCGCATATCAGAAAAAATACTTTTGAGGTTATAAACCATTAATATATTTCATAACTTACATAGTTAAGTATAAATATATTTTTTATAGCCCAATCGATAAAGTAGATGGATTGCAACTTGAATCTATTGATGACAAGATAAAAGCAAAACATGATGATAAAAGCAAACAAAAACATAAATTGGAAGAAAATATTGATAAACCTAATGGCCGAACAAATAATAATGAAGCTGGAAATTGTTATTGGTATTAGTTTATTTAAAATTTGTGTTCAAGCAAGCAATGAAAAATAACAAATACTTATAAATATATATTCTTATAATATTCTTTCAGTGGAAAAGAAAGAAATCTTAATATTATAGAACTTTTATGTGCTAGTTGTTCAAGATGGTTTCATGAATCTTGCATTGGATATCAATTGGGTAAATTAGTGCCCTTTATGATGAATTATATATTTATGTGTAAAAATTGTTCTCCTACTGGTTTAGAAAGCTTCAAAAAAAATCAAGCACGTAAGAATAATAATTTATAATAAATATAATAATAAATAATAAATATAATAAATATATTTAAATAATAACTATATTATTCAATATATAATTTGAACTTTTGTTTAATTATTCAACACATTTAAAAGAATATAATTTTTCTAGCATTTCCACAAATGTGTGTAACAGCAATAGCAAATTTATTGCAAATATCTCAGAAAGAAAATGAACAAAGAACATTTTTTCATAAAGATAAGGATATTATTCCTTTCATTGAATGTCATTGGGATAGCATGACAACAATGCCACGTAGAGTAACACAATCATGGCATGCAACAGTAAGCAGTCTATTATATATTTAATATTGTATATTATATTTAATTTTATTGCAAATATAGCATTTCTCTAATTCATTTGAAAATAATGTTAAAAAAAATTTTTTTTTAATTTTTTTATTAATTTTATATTATTATATAATAACAATAAATATTAAAATAATTTTATTATTTATTTATATAAATGAAATTAAATTATTATGTTGGTAAACATTTATGAATATAAAATTACATATTAAACTAGAAATAATTTATATTAGTTTAACCAATTGTTAAGTATTCTAAGATCTTAATATTTTAAATATTATTGTTTTAATTTATTACATAATGATACATAAAAAAAAAAAATAAGAAAATATTGAAATAATATAATAATATAATTAAAAATATAGAAATATAAATTAAAATCATTGAATTATTTTATATATTTATTAAACATATTATTGATTTATAATTTTTTGCTGTATTTTTTTCATGTACAAAAATAACTAATGTTTGAATATAGATACATAGAGCATTGTTAAAAGATGTTGGAACATTATTTACTATTGAGGAAAGCAATTCAGATGGACAATTATTTGGACTTATATGTTCTGATCTTCAAATGATTAAACCAAATTATGAAGCAATGATTAAGGGTGGTCATTTAAAAGTAACTGAAATGGGTGTTCAACATGTTGGTAAGCTTAGTTATATTTAATTAAGCTTAATAAATTATAATTATTCATAATTAGTTTAATGTAGAGGTGAAATTTATTATTTCAAAAAAGAGAGATATCTTAATAAATTTATTTAAATATTATTAAATATTATTATTATTATTATTAACAAAATAATGTATACAAATAATTAAAATCATAAATATTTTATATTAAACTTTGCATATTTGATTAATTACTTGATTAATTTATTTATATTTATTTTTATCTTTCAATAATTAATTTTTTTCTTTTTGTTATACTTATTTCTTATCTTATCAAGATATTAATCAGTACTATGGTATCATATAACAACTTGCTTAATCATAGAATGTCTAAATAGGTTATGTTATTAATAAATTCTATAATATTATCAATTTATTATATAATAGTAATTATAGTATTATGAATCAATTCATAATATTCAATTTATTTTAAAAAAATTTCATCTCAAATTTCGTCAATTTTATTTTTAAAAAATTTAACAGTTAAGCATATATAGATAATCTTTTTGCAATTGTTATATTTTTGATATATCATTATATTATAATTTATACTACATAAGTAATGAATATTACTATGGCATATACAGTACCACTTAGTGGAGGTTTTCGTGGTCGCAATGCAAAACGTAAATTTCCTGGAGAAGGAACAGGTACTGGACCTGGTAAAAAGGGTAGAGGTTCTGATATGACAGCTCCTAAGTTACCTGCTCATGGATATCCTCTTGAACATCCTTTTAACAAAGATGGTTATCGATATATTCTTGCTGAACCTGATCCACATGCACCTTTTAGACAGGTTTGTAATTATGTTGTATATTCTTTAATTCATATATAATCTAATAATAAATCTAAATATTATTTTATAGGAATTTGATGAAAGTAGTGATTGGGCTGGAAAACCTATTCCTGGTTGGCTATATAGAGCTTTGAGTCCAAGTACAGTTTTACTTGCTTTGCATGATCGAGCACCACAACTTAGAGTTTCAGAAGATAGATTAGCAGTTACTGGAGAAAAAGGCTATTGCATGGTCAGAGCAACTCATAGTATGTTAACATTATAATCTATTATATCAAAAATAATTTTATACATACAATAAATATACATTAAATTATTTAAAAATTAAAATTATTAATTTATATTTTTTATCATTTAAATGACTTGTTCATTCTTTAGATGTAAGTAGAGGTACCTGGTATTGGGAAGCTACTATTGAAGAAATGCCAGAAGGATCAGCTACAAGATTAGGATGGGGTCAAGAATATGCTAACTTACAAGCTCCATTAGGTTATGATAAATTTGGATATTCCTGGAGATCTAGGTATAATTCAATTCTTATATTCTATTTTAAAATAATTTCAATATAATACAATGTTATAATAAATAAATAATTTTAATTATGAATAGAAAAGGTACACGATTTCATGAAAGTAGAGGTAAACATTATAGCAATGGTTATGGAGAAGGTGATACATTAGGATTCCTCTTAATTTTACCAGATACACATGATGCATCACATTTACCAAATACCTACAAGGATCGGGTAAGAATGAAATGTAAGTTTATTATATTATCATAAAAATTTTATAAATTGATGTTTATACATTAGCCCTTAGTAAAATTCAAAAGTCATCTTTATTATGAAGAAAAAGATCAAGTACCTGAAGCTCTTAAGGCTCTAAAACCATTACAAGGAAGCAAAATTATATTTTATAAAAATGGAGTAAATCAAGGTGAAGCATTTATAGATATTAATAAAGGAGCTTATTATCCTACAGTTTCTATTCATAAAAGTGCTACAGTTTCTGTTAATTTTGGACCAAACTTTAAATGTCCTCCAACAGATATTACATTTAGAGGAGTAAGTAATGATTTAATAAAAAAAATTTCTCGATATATTCTTTCAACAATTATTTATATTTTATAGATGCATGATAGAGCAGAAGAAGCAATAGCAGAACAATCTATGGCTGATATACTTTATTTTACTGAAAATGAGGGAAAATTAAGACTGGATACTTTTGCTTTATGACATTAATGTATTTTTTTATTTTTTTTAAATTATTGTTCAGTTCAAATTAATAATTAATATTGAATTTAAAAATTTATAATTATCTTATTTTAAGTTCCTTAATTGCATATAATTATAAAATAGAATTAAATTAAAATCTAGAAAATTTAATGCAGATATCATATGTATATACTATGATATCTATAATTCAAATTTTGATATATATAACAAAAATTATCTTCCAAAACCACCTCTACAAACTGGACTTGGTGATATATTACATTTATCTTTCCATTGATCAGATGTCTTCGCCTTTGTAAATAAACATAAAAGTAACATTTTAAATATTTGAAAATAATATTTATTTTCAAATTTTACTGAAATTTTTCATATTACATTAAAATATTTTTATAATAATACTTACTATAATTGATAATGCATGCACACTTCCTTGTAATTCTGCTTTTAATAATTCATTTATCATTTGATGACGCTAAATCAATAAAATTATATCTTTAAAATATATGAATTAAGATTAAAATGAAACAAATTATAAACAATACTTTTACAAAATATTATAGACTTTTTATAAAATACTTTATCAAATATAATATATAATACTATACATATATTATAGAAACTGATTATAAAATTTGAATGTAAAATATAAGTAAAAATTTTTATTAAATCTCATGTTGTAAATGTTATACATAAATTTCATTACCTTAATAAGTGGTTTATCTTTAAACAAATCAGAAACAACAATTACTTTGAAATGTGTTTCAGATCCTTTAGGAACATTGTGCATATATGATTCATTTATTACTTCGATGTAAGATGGATTTAAAGAATCTATCAATTTTTTTTTTATTGAAAGTTCTATTGGATTATTCTGTGTCATAATATTTATTCCTCGTAATAAAATTGACTTGTTCCTATAATCTACAAATATTTATAAATAATACATATATCATTATATTATTATTATTAATAAAATAGTATTAAAAAAAATCTAAATATTGTTTAACAGAAATATTATATATTTTACATGATATCAAAATTTAAATTAAATTTATTCAAAATTAAATATTTTATTATTGTTTTTTTTTCTGTGTATTTCTCATTAATTTTTTATTAATTTCTCATTAATAATAT